TCCCTCCGTCCCCATCCTTCCCCCACTCTCTCTATCTCTCTCTATCGGCTGTCACATGTCGTTACACCCGCGCCGTGCCGCGACGGCTGCCGCTGCGGCTGCGGCGTCTGCGCGTGACCCCGCTGCCGGCGTCACGGCGGCACGGCGGCAATCAGGGGATGACAGCTCGACGCATTACCGCCCCGCCGCGGTTAGCAGACACCCGCCGCGGCACGCACGCACACACGTACAGGCACGCGCGCGTACAGCCACGCACGCACGCAAGTACACGCACGCACGCGTACAGGCACGCACGCACGTAAGTACAGGCACGCACGCACACACGCACGGACGTACATGCACGCACGCACGGACGTAGTACAGGCACGCACGCACACATAACATGCACACATTTATGCACACACACGCACACACACACACGTACGCGTACGCACACGTTACATTGGTAGTTAATGAAGGTTTGTCTTCATTAGCTCCTGATAACATGCAGACACACATATACGCACACACACACACACACACACACACACACACACACACACACACACACACACACAAACACACACGCACAGACGCACACACACACACGCGCGCACGCGTATATCGTTGCTACGCATCGTCGTGAACAAAACACTATCTCACTAACTCGTCGCGTGCGAATATTTGATTGAGTTTATTCGATTCAACATTCACTTTTAATACTTTTTCATGTAAACAAATCGATCGGGTTGTTTGACTTTTTACTGATTTCACTAAAAAAAACGGTCGTCAGTCGAATCTATAAGCAGAAATGATATGAAAAATATATTATTATATATTAATATAAATATTAATATAACAGAATGAACTCGCGAGTTTGTATCATCAATGTACTCTACTAGTGTACGCTGTAGTCAGAGCATATTGTTACTTGAATCCAATCAGCAAAGCCAAACACTTAATTAATCATTCTCTTGCACACTTACGTGAACGCGATTTCGGTTTAACGAAGTATATGAGAAACACTGTGAGGTGGTAAAACACGTGGAACGATAGACGGGTGAACGGGCGTTCTTTAGTAACCAGCGCGTGGGTAACACTGCCCCGAACCCCGCCCGAAACTCAGCTAGCGTGAAAGCTAAATCGATCCACCTGCTTAAACACTTATGCAAACGGATGAAACAGTCGCGATGATTCCAGTAAGGTTTAACAGTAGCGACGTCTCTAGCGTCCACGCGAAGGCAACACCGCCCGGAAGGCGGCGCGGAACTGACTGCTCTTCGCAGCATATATGAAGAAGTTCATGCAAGAGTTTGAGTACACCAGTAGGTAGCCGAGGCCTCGCGCTACGCCGACCGTGTCGTGGTAGACGTCGGCAACGCTCAGCAGCATCATGATGAAATACGGATCCCAGCAAACGAAGAACGCGCCGACGACAATGCCAAACGTCTTGGCAAGCTTCAGATGCTTGGCGAACTCAGCAGAGAAGGATTTTCCGGTCGCTCCTGCCTCCTGCGAACCGCTGTTGCTTGGGTTCGGGTGGATCTGCTGCTGGTGGTGCTTGGCAATCATCATTATGTAAGCGTAGATGGAGATGATGGCGACGCCACACGTACCAATGACTAGCGAGGTACAGATGATAGATGCTCTACTCGTGACGGTGTCATACATGCACGGTTGATCCGGCTGCCAGCGGTTGCCAATGAGAGTCATCACGCTTGCGAAGAAGGCAAAGCTCCAAGCGAGGACTACCATTACTAAGATAACGCGCGGTGTGACGATCTGGTAGTAGAGTAGCGGTCGGGATATTGCAATGTACCTGTCTACGTTGATGGCAATGAGCGAGTTTGTTGATGCAAGTCCCGAGAGCGTACCCAAACTGAAGTGTCCAAGGCATATGATCTTTGGCGGGAATTCGATTAGAAAGGTCGTTGGTGATACGAAGGTTCCTTGCACGCCCATGAGAAAATCGGCGACAGCCAAGTTTGCGATCAGCTTGTGTGCCGGCTCCTGCAGGTGTGATGTCCGTGTCACAGCCAAGATGACGAGAAAATTAGCAAATATGTTGAGAATGTTGACAGGAATCAGCAGGTTAGCGATCCACGCTTGAACTGCTGGGACTGCGCCCTGTTCAATATCCGACTCCATGCAGCCGATCCAGCTCCCATTCTCGGACACGGACCCGGAGATGTTGCACAGTGAACCATTAGATGTCGCCATGATGCAGAAATAACGCTCACTACGCCAGCTCCGCAACACTAATGGCGTGCCTCTGCTGCTTCGCATTCATTTTATGTCTTTTATACGTAATAATGTCTCGCCATCTCTCTCTCAGCAATTCTATTTCTGAACTCTAATTTTATCTCGTAGGGTTGTTACGATACTATGCTACATAATTAAATATACATAATTTATTATATTACGTCGTTTAACCCTTAGATTTTCCTCAGAAACGCTTCCTTCGTATTCCCGAATCATTTAACTAGCGTGATGCGGGGTATTGTTGTACCTAAATACTTGGACGTATCGGATGAAGATATCAGTCGCACTGCCCCATCCAATGAAAGGGACATTTGCAGCTGGCGCGTGCATAGCTTAGCCTGTCCGCAGCTGTAAACCCTCCGCCACGAGAAAGCATGAATCTTGGCAATAGTCTTTATTAATATAAAACCTGGTGGCAAGCTATGCGATATAAACATTTTCCTCATTTAAGTAAGCTTCACAACATGAATAGAAAGCAAGTTTGATACATTAATGCGCCAATTGATTTTGCGCTAACGAAGTATTAGCAAAACTCTCTGAGAAGATTGTAAACCATATTTAACGGCACATTACACGTTAAATATTGTCCAACGCGTTGGCAACACTGCCCCGACCCCCGCCCGAAACTCAGCTAACGTGAAAACTAAATCCATCTACCTGCTTAAACACTTAATCGAACGGATGAAACAGTCGCGATGATTCCAGTAAGGTTGGACAGTAGCCACGTCTCTAGTGTCCACGCGAGGGCAACACCGCCCGGAAGGCGGTGCGGAACTGACTGCTCTTTGAAGCATATATTAAGAAGTTCATGCAAGAGTTTGAGTATGCCAGCAGGTAGCCGAGGCCTCGCGCCACGCCGACCGTGTCGTGGTAGACGTCGGCAACGCTCAGCAGCATCATGATGAAATACGGAGCCCAGCAAACGAAGAAAGCTCTGACGACGATGCCAAACGTCTTGGCAAGCTTCAGATGCTTAGCGAGCTCAGCAGAGAAGGATTTTCCGGTCGCTCCTGCCTCCTGCGAACCGTTGTTGCTCGGGTCCGGGTGGATCTGCTGCTGGTGGTGCCTGGCAATCATCATCATGTAAGCGTAGATGGAGATGATGGCGACGCCACACGTACCAACGACTAGCGAGCTACAGATGAGAGATGCTCTACTCGTGACGATGTCATATATGCACGGTTGATCCGGCTGCCAGCGATTGCCAATTATAGTCATCACGCTTGCGAAGAAGGCAAAGCTCCAAGCGAGGACTACCATTACTAAGATAACGCGCGGTGTGACGATCTGGTAGTAGTTTAGCGGTCGCGATATTGCAATGTACCTGTCTACGTTGATGGCAATGAGAGAGTTTGTTGATGCAACGGCCCAGAGTGTAACCAAACTGAAGTGTCTAAGGCATATGATCTTTGGCGGGAATTCGATTAGAAAGATCGTTGGTGATACGAAGGTTCCTTGCACGCCCATGAGAAAATCAGCGACAGCCAAGTTTGCGATCAGCTTGTGTGCTGGCTCCTGCAGGTGTGATGTCCGTGTCACAGCCAAGATGACGAGAAGATTAACAAGTATGTTGAGCATGTCGATAGGAATCAGCAGATAAGTGATTCACGCCTGAATTGCTTTAATCGTTCGCTGTTCAACGTCCGACTCCATGCAGCCGACCAAGCTCCCATTCTCGGAAACGGACCCGGAGATGTTGCTCAGTGAACCATTAGCTGTCGCCATGATGCAGAAATGAATCTCACCACGCCAGCTCCGTAACTCTAATGGCGTGCCTCTGCCGCTTCGCAATAATTTTATGTCTTTTATACGTAATAATGTCTCCCCATCTCCCTCTCAGCAATTCTATTTCTGAACTCTAATTTTATCTCGTAGCGTTGTCACGATATTATGCTACATAATTAAATATACATAATTTACTATATTACATCGTTTAGCGCTTAGATTCTCCTCAGAAACGCGTCCTTTGTTCTCCCGAATCATTTAACTAGCTTGATGCGGGGTATTGCTGTAACTACTTACTTGGACGTACCGGATGAAGATATCAGTCGCACTTCCCCATCCAATGAAAGGGACATTTGCAGCTGGCGCGTGCACAGCTTAGACTGTCCCCAGCTGTCAACCCTCCGCTACGAGAAAGCATGAATCTTGGTAATAGTCTTCACTAATATGAAACCTGGTGGCAAGCTATGCGATATAGATATTTTCCTCATTTAAGTGAGCTTTACAACATAAATACAAAGCAAGTTTGATTCATTTCTGCGCCAATTGATTTTGCGCTAACGAAGTATTCGCAAAAACTCTCTGAGAAGATTTAGACTGTCCCTAGCTGTCAACCCTCCGCCACGAAAAAGCATGAATCTTGGCAATAGTCTTCACTAATATGAAACTCGGTGACAAGCTATGCGATATAAACATTTTCCTCATTTTAGTAAGCTTCACAACATGAATAGAAAGCAAGTTTGATACATTTCTGCGCCAATTGATTTTGCGCTAACGAAGTATACGTAAAACTCTCTTAGAAGATTTTAAACCATATTTAACGGCACATTCCACGTTCTTTAGTGGCAAACACGTGGGTAACACTGCACCCGAACGCCGCCCGAAACTCAGCTAATCTGAAAGCTAAATCGATCTACCTGGTTAACCAATTAATTGAACGGATGACACAGTCGCGATGATTCCAGTAAGGTTGGACAGTAGCCACGTCTCTAGTGTCCACGCGAGGGCAACACCGCCCGGAAGGCGGCGCGGAACTGACTGCTCTTCGCAGCATATAGGAAGAAGTTCGTGCAAGAGTTGCAATCTGTAAGAATAAAGGTGACACCTCGCGCCACGGCGAGCGTCTCGTGGTGGATGCCGGCTACGCTAAACAGCAGCATGGTGAGGCCCGGAGTCCAGCAGACGACGAAGGCGCCGACGACGATGCCAAACGTCTTGGCAAGCTTCAGATGCTTGGCGAGCTCAGCAGAGAAGGATTTTCCGGTCGCTCCTGCGTTCTCCAACCCGCTGTTGCTCGGTTCCTGGTGGATCTGCTGCTGGTGGTGCTTGGAAATCATCATTATGTAAGCATTGATGGAGACGAGGGCGGCGCCACACGTCATAATAAGTACCGAGCTTAAGATGACAGATATTCTACTCGAAACGATTTCATAGACGCATGGTAGATCCGGCTGCCAGCGGTTGCCAACGGACGTAATCACGCTATTGAAGAAGGCAATGCCCCAAACCAGGACTACCATTAACAAGATAACGCGCGGTGTGACGATCTGGTAGTAGTGTAGAGGTCGCGATATTGCAATGTACCTGTCTACGTTGAGGGCGATGAGAGCATTTGTTGATGCGACGGCCGAGAGCGTAAGCACACTGATGTGTCCTATGCATATAATCTTTGGTGTGAATTTGAGTAGAAAGGTCATTGGTGCGATGCGGATTCCACAGACGCCAAAGATGAAATCAGCGACAGCCAAGTTTGCGATCAGCTTGTGTGCTGGCTCCTGCAGGTGTGATGTCTGTGTCACAGCCAAGATGACGAGAAGATTAACAAGTATGTTGAGCATGTCGATAGGAATCAGCAGATAGCGATCCACTCCTGAATCGCTTTAACCATTCCCTGTTCAATATCCGACTCCATGCAGCCGATCCAGCTCCAATTCTCGGACACGGACCCGGAGATGTTGCACAGTGAACTATTAGCTGTCGCCATGATGCAGAAATGAATCTCACCACGCCAGCTCCGTAACACTAATGGCGTGCCTCTGCCGCTTCACATTAATTTTATGTCTTTTATACGTAATAATTTCTCCCCCTCTCCCTCTCACCAATTCTATTTCTGAACTCAATTTTATCTCGTAGCATTATCACCATACTATGCTACATAATTTAATATACATAATTGATGATATTACATCGTATAGTTCTTAGATTCTCCGTATAAATGCGTCGTTCCTTCTCCTGAATTGTGTAACTAGCGTGATGCGGGGTATTGTTGTACCTACTTACTTGTACGTATCGTGTGAAGCTACTAACAACATTGCCACATCTAATGAAAGGGATATTAACAGTTGGCGCGTGCACAGCTTAGACTGTCCCCAGCTGTCAACCCTCCGCCACGAGAAAGCATGAATCTTGGCAATAGTCTTCACTAATATGAAATCTGGTGGCAAGCTATGCGATATAAACATTTTCCTCATTTAAGTAAGCTTCATAACATGAATAGAAAGCAAGTTTGATACATTTTTGCGCAAATTGATTTTGCGCTAACGAAGTATACGTAAAACTCTCTGAGAAGATTTTAAACCATATTTAACGGCACATCACACGATTTTTAGTGTCCAACGTGTTGGCAACACTGCCCCGAACCCCGCCCGAAATTCGGCTAACGTGAAAACTAAATCGATCTACCTACTGAAACACCTAATCGAATGGGTGAAACAGTCGCGATGATTCCAGTAAGGTTAAACAGTATCCACGCCTCTGTAGTCCACGCGAGGGCAACACCGCCCGGAAGGCGGCGCGGAACTGACTGCTCGTTGAAGCATATATGAAAAAGTTCATAAAAGAGTTGGAGTCTGCCATCATATAGCCAAATCTTGTCGCCACGCCGAGCGTGTAGTGGTAGACGTCGGCCACGCTCAGCAGCATCAGGATGGAGTAAGAAGCCCAGCAGACGACGAAGGCGCCGACGACGATGCCAAACGTCTTGGCAAACTTCAGATGCTTGGCGAGCTCAGCAGAGAAGGATTTTCTGGTCGCTACTGCCTCATGCGAACCGCTGCTGTTCGGTTCCTGGTGGATCTGCCGCTGGTGGTGCTTGGCAATCATCATCATGTAAGCGTAGATGGAGATGATGGCTACGCCACACGTACCAATGACTAGCGAGGTACAGATGAGAGATGTTCTTCTCGTGACGGTGTCATATATGCACGGTTGATCCGGCTGCCAGCGGTTGCCAATGAGAGTCATCACGCTTGCGAAGAAGCCAAAGCTCCAAGCGAGGACTACCATTACTAAGATAACGCGCCGTGTGACGATCTGGTAGTAGTGTAGCGGTCGCGATATTGCAATGTACCTGTCTACGTTGATGGCAATGAGCGAGTTTGTTGATGCAAGGGACGAGATCAAAACCACAGTGAAGTGTCCAAGGCATATGATATTTTATCTAGCGTGATGCGGGGTATTGTTGTACCTAAATACTTGAACGTATCGGATGAAGATATCAGTCGCACTGCCCCATCCAATCAAAGGGACATTTGCAGCTGGCGCGGCACAGCTTAGACTGTCCGCAGCTGTCAACCCTCCGCCACGAGAAAGCATGAATCTTGGCAATAGTCTTCCCTAATATGACACCTGGTGGCAAGCTATGCGATATAAACATTTTCCTTATTTAAGTAAGCTTCACAACATAAATAGAAAGCAAGTTTGATACATTTCTGCGCCAATTGATTTTGCGCCAACGAAGTATACGTAAAACTCTCTGAGAAGATTTTAAAGCATATTTAACGGCAAATCCCACGTTCTTTAGTGGCAACCGCGTGGGTAACACTGCACCCGAACCCCGCCCGAAACTCAGCTAACCTGAAAGCTAAATCGATCTACCTGCTTAAGCACTTAATCAAACGGATGAAACAGTCGCGATGATTCCAGTAAGGTGGGACAATAGCCGCGTCTCTAGCGTCCACGCGAAGGCAACACCGCCCGGAAGGCGGCACGGAACTGACTGTTCTTCGCAGCATATATGAAGAAGTTCATGCAAGAGTTTGAGTACACCAGTATGTAGCCGAGGCCTCGCGCCACGCCGACCATGTCGTGGTAGACGTCGGCAACGCTCAGCAGCATCATGATGAAATACGGAGCCCAGCAAACGAAGAAAGCGCCGACGACGATGCCAAACGTCTTGGCAAGCTTCAGATGCTTGGCGAACTCAGCAGAGAAGGATTTTCCGGTCGCTCCTGCCTCCTGCGAACCGCTGTTGCTCGGTTCCTGGTGGATCTGCTGCTGGTGGTGCTTGGCAATCATCATTATGTAAGCGTAGATAGAAATGATGGCGACGCCACACGTACTAATGATTAGCGAGGTACAGATGAGAGATGCTCTACTCGTGACGGTGTCATACATGCACGGTTGATCCGGCTGCCAGCGGTTGCCAATGAGAGTCATCACGCTTGCGAAGAAGGCAAAGCTCCAAGCGAGGACTACTATTACTAAGATAACGCGCGGTGTAACGATCTGGTAGTAGTGTAGCGGTCGCGATATTGCAATGTACCTGTCTACGTTGATGGCAATGAGAGAGTTTGTTGATGCAAGGGCCGAGAGCGTAACCAAACTGAAGTGCCTAAGGCATATGATCTTTGGCGGGAATTCGATTAGAAAGGTCGTTGGTCATACGAGGGTTCTTTGCACGCCCAGGAGAAAATCGGCGACAGCCAAGTTTGCGATCAGCTTGTGTGCCGGCTCCTGCAGGTGTGATGTCCGTGTCACAGCCACGATAACGAAAAGACTAGCAAATATGCTGATTAGGTTGATAGGAATCAGCAGGTAAGCGATCCACGCCTGAACCGCTTTAACCGTTCCCTGTTCAATATCCGACTCCATGCAGCCGATCCAGCTCCCATTCTCGGACACGGACCCGGGGATGTTACACAGTAAACCATTTGCTGTCGCCATGATGCAGAAATGAATCTCACCACGCCAGCTTTGTATCACTAATGGCATGCCTCTGCCGCTTCGCATTACAGTTATGCATTTTATACGTAATAATGTCGACGCCTCGCCTCTCCCTCTCAGCAATTCGATTTCTGAACATCCACAGAAAGCTCCGTAAGACTAATCGCATGCCTGTGTGTATGTATGTGTGTGTGTGTGTGTGTGTGTGTGTGTGTGTGTGTGTGTGTTGCGTGTGTGTGTGTGTTTGCGAGGCGTGCTATCGCGCTGTTTTTACGGCATGTCGTTCTATCTGTGCTGATGGATGTCGTTCTATCTATCCGACGGTGTGATGTAATGGACAGGACGTATCGCGATGCTGGAAAATGCTCACTATTGTCTACCGCCGCGCTTTATATATTTATATATATATATATGCACTTCATCATTGACCTTGTTGGTAACTACAGGGGTTTGCTAAAGCTAGCTATCTACTCGTGTAGGCTCCTGTTGAGGCTACAGAGGTAGACAGGTGGATGATTGCTACTGGAGGGAAGAGTCGTGGAAGCAGGAAAGAGAAAGTAGACACGGGGAAATAATGGGTGCAGAGCGGAATATAATAATAATAATAATAATAATAATAATGATAACAATAATAGAAGTTAAAGAAGGGGAAATGAGACAGTAGTGAAGCAATAATCGCTAACAACTAAAATAGGCCCATTGTGAGTTACGATACTACAATTATAGTGTATATTTTCCCAGTAAAGCAGCGTGCGCGTTACAATTGTTTTCGATTGTCTTTACAATTCTATTGACTTTTTTGTTTACAATTGTCTATTTGCATCGTTAACGTACTAGTGTGAACAATTAGTACAGTTTTTTTTTCACTGACCGACACACAGAGTGCGATCGCGTCGCAGGGACAGTTCGATCTAAGTAGGCCTACACCTGCGACTGCCGGCGACGGGTCTGCGACGCTCAGTGACTGGAAAATTGTCAGTCGCAGTGAGTAGCGCATGTTCTAATTTTGCGACGCGACGCGACTGTTTCCACCCGTCGCTTGCATTGTTTTACCGACATAAGCTGCCTTGCGACCGCTGCGACGAGATTCGAATGCATAATGAACAATGCATAAAAGCGAACAATGCGAATGAAACAATCAGTGCACACAGTCATATACACAACATGCACAAAGTATCAAGTCATGTAAACACATTTAGTTGCGCGATCGATAGGCGATCGTCACATCGACCTAGCGCCTTCTGCGACTGCCTGCGACTGCCAGTGTCAGTCGCTACTCGTCGCTGTCAGTCGTGTCGCTGTCGACTCACTGTCGCTGTGAGATGTAATGCGTCGCGTCGCGTCGCATTCAATCGCAACCCGACCTAAGGCCGGCTTTACGCATAATTAAAATTCACACACGACACCAACGACGACACAGGAAAACGCTTTCCTTCCGAAGAAGCAAAATCTGGCGAGAAAACGGGTCAAGAAATGAAATGTCCGCCTATACTTTCCAGCAATACTACCCACCGATATTTTCCACCAATAATTATCACCGATACTTTTCACCGATACTTTCCACCGATACTTTCCACCAGTACTTTCCACCGATACTTTCCACCAATACTTACGAAACAGGGAAACAACCCCACGTACAACAAATTTACAAGGCCACAGCGAATCATATTAATTTAGCGCGATATTCACACAAAAACACGTCCAGAAGCAAACGTTCACCGATACTTTCCACCGATACTTTCCACCGATACTTTCCACCAATGCTTTTCAGCAATACTTACGAAACAGGGAAACAACTCCACGTACAACAAATTTACAAGGGCACAGCGAATATTATTTAGCGCGAGATTCACACAACAACGCGTCCAGAAGTAAACGTCTACCGATACTTTCCACCGATACTATCCGCCTATACTTTCCACCAATATTTTCCACCGATACTTTCCACCGATACTTACGAAACAGGGAAACAACCCCACGTACAACAAATTTACAAGGCCACAGCGAATCATATTAATTTAGCGCGATATTCTCGCAAAAACACGTCCAGAAGCAAACGTTCACCGATACTTTCCATCGATACTTTCCACCGATACTTTCCACCTATACTTTCCACCGATACCTTCTACCGATACTTAGGAAACAGAGAAACAACTCCACGTACAACAAATTTACAAGGCCACAGCGAATAATATTATAATTTAGCGCGATATTCACACAAAAACACGTCCAGAAGCAAACGTTCACCGATACTTTCGATCGATACTTTCCACCGATACTTTCCACCTA